AAGCTTAAGTTTTCAGTATGCCATTTTTGACTTTTTTTTGGGGCACCGCCGAGAATAAGTTAATGACACTTTTTGTAATTTCAGCTTTTTTCCAGAATCGTCAAAATAAAATGTGGCAAATTTTTAGATATTTTGAAAACATTTACTATGAAGTAGAATAATTTCAATAACGAGACGTCATTTCGACTTTGGTTTTTTTTCTCTGACAGACCTATTTTTCTATATTTGTTCTAGATAGATCTTAGGGACATGTGTTTTTAAACTTCGGTAGAATAAAATTCAAGTTATTTTCATTTGAAACTTTCAATTACATGATGTATGTATAGTGTACCAAGAAATCTAGTGCTTTTATATTGTCTTGACTTTTATCATTTAACTGTCGCATAGACATATATATTGTTCTATTTTCTTTCCAAAAATAATATCTTTTTGCAATCTAAAACAACAAATGAACTGGTTTATATAAAAGAATGTACACAGTTCACAGAATTAATAAGTTATCATTTATATTATATGTGTAAATATATTATCAAAAAAAAAAATTCCAATTTTTTGCAAATCCCTATACCGAATTAGTTGTTTCTTCAGAATTTATTTTTTCATATTCATCAAAATAATGGTTTCCACAATAATTGAAAATAGAAATTTTTCAAAAAAACTTGTGATTAAGACAAAAAAAAATTATTAAACATACGTTTAATAGCAAATATTTCGAAAACCTTGCTCTGAGACCATAAATAAGCTATATTTTTTCCATCAGAATGTCGATATTTACAATTTTTCAAAAGCTCAGTTTTCTTATGAAAATTTCGACCCTTTTTCGATCATTTTCGAAAATTACCTAAACACATGTTCTGTCCATTTCGACTTCCAGAAGTCATTTTTAGCCTGACTTTATCGATAACTCCTACTATTTTTCCAGAATCGATCACTGAAATATGGCAAATTTTTTTCAAAATTTCGCTTAGCACGGAATATTTCGAAAATCTTGCTTGTGAACGATAAACATATTTTTCGAATCAGCACGTTGAAATCTATATGCTAGATTTCCTTTGTGAATTTTTCAGCAACTTTTTCAAAACCTCAATTTTTCAATTCACTTGTAAAAATTTCGGCCCTTTCTGGATTAATTTTGATAATTACTTAAAGACATTTTATTTGTAAATTTCACCTCCAGAAATCATCATCGGCCTTACTCCTTCGATGAGTCCTTCCATTTTTCCAGAGTTTTGTTTTATAATTTTACTTTGAAATCGAGTTTTTCGAAAAAAACAAGCCACATTTTTTGAATCAGCACGTCAAATTTTTTCTGAATTTTTTGGAAGCCTTATTTTTCGATTTCCCTTATGAAAATTCCGTTCTTTTTTGTCCGTCGATATACCAGAATTTTCTGAAAATTTTTGGGCAGCTTTTTCAAAATCTCAATTTTTCAATACTCCCCTGTTACGAACATTTCGGTCATTTTTCGACCATTTTAGAAAATTATGCAAAGATACTTAATATCTTATAGGTTTCGATCTCCAGACCTTTCGATCTCATTTTTTCGAAAAGTCCAACTATTTTTCCAAAATCGCCCACGAAAACATTATGTTTTTTTGGATTTTTTTAAATTACATTTCAAACCGAATTTGTCTAAAATCTTGTTACGAGAGCATTGGATATTTATAATTTTCTCGATCTTTTTTCAAGCACCTTCGAAAATTATCTTAAGAGATTTTTTTTATATATATTTTGATCTTCAGAAGCTACTTTTGGTTTCATTTTGTTCAAAATTCATCACATCAAAATCAATCTATATGCCAAAACATTGCATGGAGTTTTGAGCACCTTTAACAAAAAATTAAATTTTCAATATGCAGTTTTTGACGTTTCTTTGAGCAGCTTCGAAAATCACCTTTTTGTTAATTTATACGTTTAAGTTTTTCTTTGACTTCATTTCCTCGAAAATCGTTACCAATTTTCCAGAATTGTCAAAATAAAATGTGACAAATTTTTAGATATATTGAAAATTCGATTTTAGTCCAAATAGTACGAAAATTAATTGTAATATCGAGCTTTTCAAGTTAAATAAGTCCTTAACAAAAATATACCAATCGCTTCAGCTGTCGAAATTTATCTTCCATAATATTTTGTATATTTTTAGAGAATTTTCCAAAAGTTCAATATTTCCATGCCACTAAAGAATTTATTTTATTTATTTCACCCCCAAAAGTTTTTATGGTTTCCTTTTCCCAGAATTTTCCAGACGAAATGTGACAAATTTTGAGATATTTAAAAAATTTGACTATGAACTGAAATATTTTCAAAAACTAGGCGCCGTTTCAACTTTGACTTATTTTCTCTGTCAAACGCACCTTTCTATATTTGTTCTTTGGGACATGTGTTTTTGATTTTGTGAATTAATTTGTCCACTTCGCTAGAATAAAATTCAAGTTATTTTCATTTGAAACTTTCAATTATATGATGTATAGTCTACCAAGGAATATAGTGCTTTTATTGTCTTGACTTTTATCTTTTAACTGTTGCATACATTACAATTTCTTATTTTTTTTATTAATTAAGGAGTTATATAATTTATATTACATGTATAAATATGTATATTATCTAAAAAAAATCCAATTTTTTGCAAATTCCTAGACCGATTTAGTTGTTTTAGCATTAATTTTTTCAACTTCATCAAAATAATGGTTGCTACAATTGAAACAAAAATTTTTCCAAAAATTACCTGAAGATAAAGATGTGCATTGTAAAATTGGAAACACGTTATGATTAAGACAAAAAAAATATATTTTTTAAACATATAGCGAATATATATTTGATAGCGAATATTTCGAAAACCTTGCTCTAAACCATAAACATGCTATATTTTTTTCCATTAGAATGTCGATATTTACATCCCAGAATTTTTTAGAATGTTTAGGCGGCTTTTCAAAACCCCAATTTTGTTTATGAAAATTTTGACGCTTTTTCGATCATTTTCAAAAATTACCCAAACACATTTTCTGTTGATTTCGATCTCCAGAAGTTACTTTTAGTAATTTTTCTACAACTTTTTCAAAAGCCTATTTTTTCAGTACTTCCCCGTTATGAAAATTTCAGATCTTTTTTGACTATTTTCAAAAATTACCCAAAGACACTTTCTTGTAATTTCGGCCTCCAGTCTCATTTCTTCCATGAAACCTACCGTTTTTCCAGAATCATCGATATGAAATGACCGATTTTTGAAATTGTTCTAAAATTTGACTTTCAAACCGAATGTTTCGAAAACCTTGCTCCGAACTGCAACCACCCTATAGTTTTCGAATTAGCGTCTCGAAAAGATTGTTTTCTGAATTTTTTGGAAATTTTTTGAAAGCTCCATTTTTCGATTTCCCTTCGATTTAGGTCCTCGACTGTCTTCTAAAATTACCCAAAGATATTTTTTTGTAGATTTCGACCACCAGAAAAGACATTACGTCACAATTTTTCGACATTCTAATTTTCCAGAATCGCCCATTGAACACGGCAACGTTTATCATCAAAAAAAAAATTTAAATCGATTATATTTCTAAAATCTTGCACCGGAACCATATTTTTGAAATCAACCCCTCGATATTTATATATCTGAATTTTTTGGGCAAATTTTTCAAAATTTCAATTTTTCAGTACTCCCCCATTACGAAAATTTCGGTCCTTTTTCGAGTATTTTAGAAAATTGCCCAAAGATATTTTTTGTAGGTTTCGGCTCTCCATTTTTTTCATAACTATAACTATTTTTCCAAAATCGCCCATGACGAGATGGTAATTTTTCGATTTATTTATTTTTTTAAATAAATTTCAAACCGAATATTTCTAAAATCTTGCTGCGGGATCATCAACGCGCTGTATTTTTCTTCGACTTAGTTCTTTAAAATCCATATCCCAGATTTTGTTCTGAATTTTCAGGCAAATTTTTGAAAACCCTATTTTTCGATACTTATGTTCTCAATCTTTTTGGACCATCTCCGAAAATTATCTCAAGATATTTTTTTTTATAGGTTTCGACCACTTTGCCAAAAACGCAAATTTTCAATAAGCAATTTTTGGCCTTTTTTAAGCAGCTTCGAAAATCACCTAGAGATTTTTTTGTTAATTTCAAACTTCATAAATTTTTTTCTCCGAAAATTCCTACTACTTTTCCAGAATCGTCAAAATAAAATGGGATATTTTGAAAATTCGATTTTGAGCCCAATTAGTTCGAAAATGAGTTATCATCTTGAGCTTGGCTAAGTTAAATAAGTTAGTAACAAACATATATACATATAAAATTCCTACCCTTTTCTAGTAGATACATACGAGGTACGACAAATCTTGAGACATTTAAAAAAAATTCAATATTTGTTCTAGTTAGAGCTTTGAGAATTGTGTTTTTGGTTTTGGTAATTAATTTATACACATTTTCAAACTTCGCTAGAATAAATTCAAGTTATTTTCATTGAGACTTTCAATTCCATGATATATAGTATACCAAGAAATATAGTGGTTTTATTGTTTTGACTTTTTCATTTAAATAACTGTCGCATAGATATTGTCTTATTTTTTTTTAATCATATGTTATTAAAATGTACACAATGTATACAAATTTTACAAAATGTATACAATTTACGCAATTAACAAGTTACATAATTTTTAATTCTAATGCATCAACAACCTCAACACGTACCAATTTTTTCTATGACTCAACAATAAAGTGATTAAACTTCCGAAAGCACTTCTAATCTTTAACTCTCGGCAGTCACTCGGGGTTTCTCCGGCCACTAACACAAAGTGTAAACTTTACCAACACCGGTACAACAATAAAAAAACCTCCATTCCACTTTGTTCTATTCTCTAGTTGAACTCCGAGCTTCGAACACGTCGCACTATTCACCCCCACAAGTCCTCCGTCAAAATAAAACAACCCCTATATGCATCGTTACCGTCGCCTAGTCCTTGGCCGCTCTTAAACCCACCCCCACGTCTAAAAACAATAATCTACTTACTTCCTTTCGCGCTCCTTCCTCTGGAGTTTCTTTTTCTTGAACGCCTTTTTGACACGCAGTAGCAGGAAGGCCGCCCGGTCGATCGTCAGAGCCGAATACTGCTTCTTTTCCTCCATCTTGAATAGTTTAACTCGTCTGTCTTAAGTTGATTTGCACCTTAATCCGTTTAATATTCATCTGAAAAAGTTCGCCTCAGTTAATTCTCGTCGCGGAAAAAGGACGTCTAAATAATTGGAAAATGCCTAATTATACTTCACCGGGTTGATATTTTTACTAGAAAAGCATACTCAGGTGGAGTACAGGGCTGCGTACTAGGACACAATTTCTTTTTAATATATGGGAATGATATATCAAATATTCTCGGAAGCGCTTTGGGGACGGCGCCCACGGGTTGTTCTGTTGTTTGGGAATCTTGAGGCGTATAAAATATCCGATAAAAGCCTATCAGAAGTCGTGACGCTAACATGCGGACTGCTGGGATTGTCAGAAACATGAAGGCATAAGGATGGACACAAAGCTGACTCGGGCAGGGTCGACGATGATGCAAAAAACGGGCTGTATGTGGAAAGTGTATAAATAGGCACACTATCGGGGATTCGGGGCAAAAGGTTGAGAGCTTTGGAAACATATTGTGTGGACAGATATTGAAAATGTAGTGTAGGATGTACATGGTTGTTTTGACGCAGCATGCAAAAACCAGCGTCCCTTGTGAGGCTGGAAATGTGTTTTGATTGTTTGTTTTTTTTGTGATGTAACCGCGGCTTGGTGAAAAATACGCAACGCTTTAAAGATTTTCGCTTCACTTGCTGGGGTAAAGCCGACTCCCCTTTTTCGTTCCAGAAGGGTTTCTAATGGAAAATTCCAATAATCAAGCTTGGCAAGGATTTCTTCATCAGTGGATCATTATTCGGTGAAGTTACAGGAAGCCGCAAATATTTTCCTGCACTTGTATGAAAATATTACCATTGCTGAAATTATTCGTACATTCCTTAAATGCATAAATTCCCACTGGTTACGATTATAACCACAACAATAAAATTGTCATTAAACTTGACTTAACTTAAAACCGACATTATCGTATTCTACAAATTGTGAAACATTAATCAGAAACACGAGAAATATAATTAACAATTATGTACAAATAGGAGCAAATCAAAATAAAAACACAATTACAAGTTATAAAAACTAAAAGCTAATTATTGAGCAATAAAGAACAATTAAAAATAATTAGCTCCAAATAAGTGATATTAACTAAAATTGATAATAATCTATCAATTTTATCAATTGGGTACAGGCTAGTGAAATATTGGTGTGTTATAACCAGTAAGTGTAATTTACCAAAATTAATATTGTATCGATTAGTGATTAGGAACGATTCCCGAGATAATTAAGAGTACTGAGCCGCAAAATAATTATATCCGATCACAGATTACGTCAAATGAGTGAGTTAGCAATTTTAATTACGTCCAATTATCCTTAGGAACTACTCATTAATCAGATGGTTCATTTCAGTTAATTACGTTTACTCAGCAATTTACTTAATTAAGTTGATTTTGATTAATTCCATGTTTTTTGCAATTTCAGAATTCGTAAGATACAAAAATTAAGTGTACGAATTTACCCTGATTTTGTTTATTATTATTATTATAATTTGTATTACCTAATTCTGCCTCTAACTAAAAAGTAATTGATGAAAACGAATAGCTATTAATTAAGCAATAAAGATCAATTAAAAATAAATAATTTCACATAAGTGCTATTAGTAAAATTGATAATAATCTATCAATTATAATTAACTAATGAGTATCTATCGATTAACGATATAGAACGATTTCGGAGGTAATCAGGAGCACTGAGCTGTAAATAATTACATATTATCACAATTAACGTCAAATTAGTGAATCACCAATTTTAATTATGCCCCTTTGACCTTTAGAAATGATTTATTAATTAGATAAATCATCTTAGTTAATTACATTTTACTTAACAATTTAATTAAGTTTCTCTTGACTAATTTCATATTTTTTGCATTTTCGTAATTTTTTATAAATTTCAAAAAGGCGTTTTAAATTTAAACTTTAAAATATAAATATAAATAATATACTCCTGTATTTGTGGTTTATGAATCCACTTTGATTTTATTTTTATTACCCAATTGTTCCTATACTTTAAATACAATTACATATTCAATTAAAATTTAAGTGTTATTAGGACTAAATCAAAATTAAAAATACAATTAAAACTAATTGAAAAAAACTTAGAGCTAATCAAATAAAAATAATTAAGTGATTCCAAAAAAGTGCCATTAAATAAAATTGATAATCTGGCAATTATTTATTAATGGGTAGCGAAATACTGATGCGTAATTGGCTTAAAAGTAGGGCTCTTTTCACGAATTTCTAATATATTTCTAAATATTAGTGAAAATGTGTTGCATTAGTACTGTGAACACGAACGAAAATGGATATTTTTCCGAACAGGACCGAAAACAGGGTAAGTACGACTTCAGTTTTAATTTATCGGATTCCGTCGTTCGTTCACTCGACAATGTTTAAATTTTGGGAAAATTTTCGAAACGATTGAAGTCGGTTGATCAAAGCTATACATTTTCACGATATAAATTAATAAATTTTAAACATAATTAATATCACTTATAATGTTTAAACATGATAAGCATAAATATATATGATAATTAAACCGAAACTCGTTGTCCTACAAGCCCGAAATTATTAAAAACAAATCAATTTGTTTAAACATTGTTAAATTATCCCCGAAAATGTGCATTTTCCCCGTCAAAATATGAAAAATAATTTTTGCAATCTCATCGTGACGTACGATGACGTCACTGTCACCTGAGCTACCTGTTCGAAGGTCACGTTTTGCGGTCCTTTGTGTTCAGTATTAATTTCTGTTTGATGGCGGCAAGATCGTCGCGTCGTTTTGGCGTAAAAGTGGGGCGTTTTAGCGAATTTCTACTTTATTATTAATAAATATTGCGGAAAATATGTTGTGTTAGTGCTGTGAACACGAATGAAAATGGATATTTTTCCGAAAAGAACCGAAAACAGGGTAAGTACGATTTCAGTTTTAATTTATTGAGTTCGGTGATTCGTTTACTCGACAATGTTTAAATTGTGGGAAGATTTTCGAAACGAGTGAAATTGGTTGATCAAAGCTTATGTAAATTTTGTTATATAAAAACCTTGTCCTGACAATAAGAAACACATAAAAAAAAAGAATCATCCAATTTGGTGCAGTCGTTCTGAAGTTATGCGCGTACATACATTTCGGCGATTCATTTTTATTTATATTTATATTATATATGTTGTCTAATAAACATATTTTATCAAAATTAATATTCTATTGACTAGTAATTAAGAACCCTTTTGGAGGTAATCACGGGTACTGAGCCGTACTTAATTACGTTTTATCACAATTAACGTCAAATTAGTGAGTCACTAATTTTAATTACGTCCGATTATTCTTAGAACTGTGTATAAAATGGGAGAATTAATTTCATTTAATTACATTTACTTAGCAATTTGCTTAATTACGTGCTTTTGATTATTTCCAAGTTTTTACAGTAAACAAAATTTAAATGTACTTGTAGTTCATGAATCCACCTTGATTATGCATCTTATTGCTATAATTTTTATTATTTAATTCTTCCTCTACGTTGGATACAAAATGGAAAGTTCGACAAGGGGGCAATTCCAACTTTTTGAGAGTAATTAAGCAAAATTATAAGGTAATCTATAAACAATTAGAAGCAATTAATAGTAAATTAAAATAAAAAGAAAAATTAAAACTATTTGATAAAAACTAAGAGTTACTAATTAAACACAAAGTCTAATTAAAAATAACTGATTTCAAGTAAGTGCAATTAGGTAAAACTGATAATCTATCAATTATAATTAATTATTGTTTAGTGAAATACTGTTGCGTAATAAATATATTTTATCAAAATTAATATTTTATTGACTAGTAATTAAGAACCCTTTTGGAGGTAATCACGGGTACTGAGCCGTACTTAATTACGTTTTATCACAATTAACGTCAAATTAGTGAGTCACCACTTTTAATTACGTCAGATTATTCGTAGAACTGTTTATAAAATGGGAGAACTAATTTCAATTAATTACATTTACTTAACCATTTGCTTAATTAAGTGTTTTTGATTATTTCCATGTTTTTACAGTAAAAAAAAATTAAATGTACTTGTAGTTCATGAATCCACCTTGATTTTGCATCTTATTGCTATAATTTTTATTATTTAATTCTTCCTCTACGTTGGATACAAAATGGAAAGTTCGACAAGGGGGCAATTCCAACTTTTTGAGAGTAATTAAGCAAAATTATAAGGTAATCTATAAACAATTAAATGCAATTAATAGTAAATTAAAATAAAAAGAAAAATTAAAACTATTTGATAAAAACTAAGAGTTACTTATTAAACACAAACTCCAATTAAAAATAACTGATTTCAAGTAAGTGCAATTGGGTAAAACTGATAATTTATCAATTATAATTAATTATTGTTTAGTGAAATACTGTTGCGTAATAAACATATTTTATCAAAATTAATATTTTATTAACTAGTAATTAAGAACGCTTTCGGAGGTAACCACGGGTACTGAGCCGTACTTAATTACGTTTTATCACAATTAACGTCAAATTAATCAGTCATCAATTTTAATTACGTCCGATTATTCTTAGAACTGTTTATAAAATGGGAGAACTAATTTCAATTAATTACATTTACTTAGCCATTTACTTAATTAAGTGCTTTTGATTATTTCCAAGTTTTTAAAGTAAAAAAAAAATTTAAATGTACTTGTAGTTCATGAATCCACCTTAATTATGCATCTTATTGCTATAATTTTCATTATTTAATTCTTCCTCTACATTGGATACAAAATGGAAAGTTCGACAAGACGGCAATTCCAACTTTTTGAGAGTAATTAAGCAAAATTATAAGGTAATCTATAAACAATTAAATGCAATTAATAGTAAATTAAAATAAAAAGAAAAATTAAAACTATTTGATATAAACTAAGAGAGTCCAATTAAAAATAATTGATTTCAAGTAAGTGCAATTAGATAAAATTGATAATCTATCAATTATTATTAATTAATGTGTAGTGAAATATTGTTGCGTAATAAACATATTTTATCAA